CTTTTCGCGTCCACTGAAATTTGAAAGCCTCAAGATGGCTCCAAAATGGCCCGAGTGGGCCTCCACTGGCCTCAAAAGGCCTCCAAGGCTGCCCCAAGAGCGCACAAGAGCGCCCCGAAAACTCCCGAATAGAATCCAGAGAGGCGTGTTTACGGGCTCTGGAGGGGTGACGCTACTTGACCACCCCCTCGTCTTTGACTGATGACACCCAAGAGTTCCCCAAGAGGGACCCCGAGGCCCCCCAGAGTGCACCATGAGACGCCTAGGAGGCCCCCCAAGCGGCTCTCCAAGAGGTCTCAAAAGGGCTCCCAAAAGGCATGGGTGGATGCCCCGAGGAACTCACGACGCTTCAAGGGGCTCCTGGCCCCCAAGACGCCCCAAGAGGACTCAGAGAAGCTCTCAGGAGACATCCGACGAGACTCCGAGCAGCATCCAAAAGACCTCTGGCATGTCTGCTCGCCCTCCTGCTCCTCCTCTTCCCTCTCCTCCTCCCTTCCTCCTCCTCCTCCTCCTCCTCCTCATCCTCCTCCTTCTCCTCCTCCTCCTCCCCCATCGGCATACTATTCCTCCTCATCCCTCCTCCGTCCTTCCCCTCCCCCTCCCCCTTCTCCTCCTGCTCCTTCTCCTCTTGCTCCTCCTCCGATTCCTCCTCCCTCCTCCCCCTCCTCCTCCTTCACCGATTCCGCATCCTCCTTCCCCAACCCTATCCTCCTTCCCCAACCCTTCATTCCACTGCGTGCTCCTCCACGTCTCTGATCAAAGCACCTCGCCGGGGCTCCGTATCTGGACGGGCTGCTGGGGATATGTTTGTTTGGTTCTGCGGCCCGCAAGGGGAAGTCCAGAGGGCGTGTCAATCAGGCAAACTGGGGCACAGAGCCAGATAATTCGTGCACATTGGGGAGAAATGGGGAAAACGAGCAGAGGACGAGGAGGAGGGAGGAGAGAGTCGGGTCGGGCGAAAGGGGGGGATAGCAAAGGGGGGGTTTGAGAATCAGCTCCCGTAGCTGATTTTCCCGGCGCCTCCCGGCGCCGGAGGCGGCTATGTATCGAGGAATGGGCCCCTCGGTGGGGCCGAAACCAGCTGCATGCAGCAAATTTCGTAACCCCCCCTTTCCCAATCCCCCCCTTTCGCCCGACCCGAGAGAAATGGGGAAAACGAGCAGAGGACGAGGAGGAGGGAGGAGAGAGGGAGGGCCGGGCGCGCGCCAGCCGCACCGCGTCGGCCAGGCACGGCGGTCCCTCGGCGAACCGACTCGGCACAGATCCCAGGAGGCAGGAGCGAAGAGACCAGGAGGCGGAGGAGGGGGGAGGCGGAGGAGGAGAAGGAGGAGGAGAACGGGGGGGGGGGGGAGGCAGGAGCGAAGAGACCAGGGCGAGGGGGGGGAGGCGGAGGAGGAGAACGGCACAGCAGGAGGGCAGCGGCAGCAATGATAGGCCCCAGTCGCGTTCCAGCAGGCGGCATCACCACACTGCAGGCAGCAGGCTTGCCAAAGAGAAGGTGGCACAAACACGTTCCTGCCAAAGCTGCTGGGAATACTTTTTTTGATTCGCGGCCCGCAAGGAAAAGTCCAGAGGGCGGTAAGAACGAGGCTGGGACACGCTGCTGGGGATACGCGGAACGACTTGAATTTTTTGACAACCGAACCATGTGTGAATGCCACTGCTGAACACAAGCAAAGCACAATCGAACAAACGGCACTTGAACGGCATGCGCAAGCCTGGTTTGATGCACACAACGGCTACGGAGATTGCGCACGACCCTTTGGGAGAAAGAAAAGGAAGGAGAGGATGAGGGGAGACAACGGAGGTCAAGCCAGGAGGTGGGAGGCGACGAAACAACGGCTGAGGATTCCAGGGCGAAGTAACACACGCCCATCCCTCCCTTCCCCAGCCGCCCGATACACATTGAGAAAGGGGCCTTTGGTGCCTGGATGTGGGCGCTGCAAGCAACCAGCTCCTGCAACGGTAAGACCTGCCCGCGGTGGCACTCACTTTACATATGGGAAATCGCGACTGGCCCAGTAATGCCAAAGGGCGCGGGGAAGGGGGCTGCTCATGCATCTCCTATCACGATCGAAGGCTTGGTGGTGGGCGACGTATACCAGCATTCAAGTACCACGGAGCGGAGACGTCTTTGCTCTGAGCATGGTCGCTGGTGTCTGAACCTTCGCTTTGTCCCCCTGGCTTTCGCACAGGATCCTACTTAACCTAAGTCGCCCAACTTCGCGCATCGCGCCCTGTGGTGCGCGGTTGAGTTCAAACCCTCGGGTCGCTGCCTGGAGAAAGGCAACTAACCCGCTGGCCTAGACCGATCCGTGAGCAGCGGGGTCATCGTCGCACCCTTGCGGGTCACGGTTAGAGTGAGGAGGCCGAACGGTCGCTCCCTGTCCCTGGGTTCGTGACTGAAGTGGGCTTCCGCGGTGCGGATTGTTGTTGCTGCTGTTGGTGTCGTTGCTGCTGTTGCTGATGATGTTGCTGTTGGTGTTGTCGTCGTCGTCCTTGTTGTCGTTGGTGTTGCTTTGTTGGTGTTGCTGATGCTGCTGTCGCTGGATTCCCATTTCTTCAAAAAATGAATACCGTTGATCCCCCGAGCCCCGTAACCATCTCATTTCTAATAAAACAATAATTCTCCCGGGGCTCGCACCGCGTTCTTTACATGGGAAGCTGCAGTGTCACGAAACTGTGCCTCTGGCTCCCCCACAAACTGAAGCGGGACTTCCCAACATCACCTGTGCACAATGTGTTTTTCAATTGAAATGCTCGGTCTGGGCTCGCATCTGGCTTGTTCTAATAAAGAAAAATTCCTGCTCAAACTGCGTTGTTGTCCCCCGTCTTCAACAACAACGGCTCCCGCTTGATACTTCCTGACCATTTATTCCAAATGGCACTATCGCGCGGGACTTCCTCACAATGCACGCGCGCATCGCGATCGAACGTGGGACCTCGACGCAATTTATTCAGAGGCAGGAATCAGGCTTTCGCCGTGGATCTCTTTGCGATTTATATGGGAATCGCGCTATTATTCGAAACGCCCTCGCGACCATTGCAGGACGCGCGCTTCAGCAACCCGCCCGCCCCTTGTCCATTCCTTCCATCCGTCCTTTTTCCTCCTGTCGTAATCGGGAGTGGCTAGACGCGCCCGCAAAAAAAGGCGCCCCCGGGATCGGGAGCCCCCGGGGGAGCAATTCGAGCCAAGAACCGGGATCGGACGAAGACTGAGTCTTCGCAAATTGCGTTGCTCGAGTCCGCCCCCCGCGGAACAGCCGCGCGGCCGGTCGAACAAGCGGTCGCGCGCGGTGCCCCCCATCCCAGAGCGCCAACGTACTCGACGACCCCTGCGAAAGCTCCCGCGCAAAGATCTTGCAAAAAACTCTGCAGCCGCCCGGCGTAAACAAATAAAAACCAGAAAGAGACCCCTGCAAAAACATCGCCAAGAGCCTTCAGAACTTGCAATACCATGCAATACCCTGCGAGAGACCCTGCAACGCGATGCAAGTCCCTATAGCTGAAACGGCCCTTCGGTTTCTCCAGCCCACAACCCTGTGGGCGTAGAACGTTTGAGGGCCACGTCTTCACTGGGGGGTGCTCTCGGACCCCCCCCCCAGAAGCTTGTGGAAGGCCCCATGGGGGAGGCCAAAAGATGCCACAGGGGGCCCGAGGGGGCCCCGAGAGCGGCCCAACGGGGGGCCCTAGAGGGGCGCACCACGCATCGCGCCAAACTCCGTCTAGCGGAGTTTGGCGCGACGCTTGCTAACGCTCGATGTGAACTCTCTTCGGGCCCTCTCAGGCAATTTTGACGATGACGCGAGCTGAAGAATCTTAGTTTGACGAAGTTGAAACCGAGATATGACGACATGTGACGATATTTGACGAGATTTGACGCGAGCAACTTTTCGAAACATCCTCGCGAAAAAGTTTGACCAATCTTCTCGGGAGGGGAAGCTTGTTCTGACGACGGCAACTCTGTGCAAATCTTGAAATGAAGATTCGTCAATTTACGTCCTCGTCGAACTAAACCTCGTCGAAACAGGGGGGGCGGGGAAAAGAGACACGGCAGACGGTGTAGGGGATCACGTTGCGACCCGAGCGCGCCGCAGCGCCGAACTGCCCGGCAAGCTCTTCTGAGCCCCTCCGAGCTCCTCCGACCACCCCCCGAGGAGCCCGGAGCGGCCCCTTATCCTTGGAAATCCCCCCCCCCCCCCCGACGTCTGATCTTTCAAAGTAGGTAAGGGCCCCTGCGTTTGGAGATTTCCGGATTTTTTTCAATAAGTTTTGAAAGCTCGGGATGTTTTCGACCGGTCTGGGGGCACTCTTGGGGGCCTCTGGGGCCCTTTTGGGAGCCTCTTGGTGCTGTCTTGGGGCCCGTTTTGGCCCCTCCGCGGGTCCTGGCAAAGGTCCAAGAAGGCTTCGAGAGGGCTCCAAGAGGCCCCCAAGAGGGCCGGAAAAAGGCTCCAAAGAAAGCCCCCAAATCGGTCACGCAAGAGAGGCTTCGCGTGACCGCTCTGGGGGTCCTCTTGGAACCGTCTCGGGGTCCCCTTGGGCCTTTCGGGGCACTGGAGCTGTCTTGGGGTCTACTTGGGCTTCCCAAGTCCTGAAGGCCCTCAGACGGCTCCAAGAGGACCCTGAGACCGCCCCAAGAGGACCCCAAGAGCGGTCGCGCGAAGCCCATCTGGCGTGAATGATCTTGGGGCCTTCTTGGGGCCCTCTTGGAGCTGTCTTGGGGCACTCTTGGAACCGTCTTGAGGCCCCCTTGGGTCCTTCCTAGGGCTCTCAGACGGCCCCAAGGAGGCCCCAAGACAGCTCCCACAGGGCCCCCAGAGCGGTGACTGAGGGGACCGAACGATTCACCCACGCAGCGACCCGCCTGCAACCCACCCGCGACCCACTCGCGACCCATCGGCGCCGCAAACCACCCGAGATCCACCCGCGCCGCGACCCGCCCGCGCCGCGACCCACCCGCGACGCGACCAAACCGCCAGGACGACGACAACAACAAAAACAACAGCAAGCAGAATCCTCACCGTGGATCCCCACTTCAGCTGCGCACCCAGGGACACTGTAAGACCATTCGGCCTCCTCACTCTGATATACTTCACCACGCTGTGAAGAATTCCTCCACGGAGAAACCCGCCCATGCCCTCATGCACGAAGGAACGCTCGCTGAACGAGATCCTACCATGTAGTTCGCGCCCGCGGCCGACGCAGCAACAACGCAGCAGATCCGACCATGTAGTTCCGCGCCCGCAGCCGCCCGCGGCCGATGCGGCCGGCGGGTGTCAGGGCCTACCGCACGGCACCTGTTGGTCTCCATGAGCACGCCTGCGAAGTTACCCGACTCCCCCCGCCAAACGCACCACTGACATTCTCGATGCTTCGCGATGTTTGGAAGACGGCGGACGATATGAACGGGTGGCCCCATTTCAAGAATGCGTTCTTACCTTGGGCCCGAACTAAAGCACCCCTGGAAAGCACAAAACGAGCATCTCGCGCACAGGTTCTAGCATCATGCGCGTCCGGGACGAACCCCTGCACGCCGCTTCAACGCAGAGGCGTTGTCTGAACGTTAGGCGCAAAATCATACCTGGCGCCCCTAGGGGCACCTCGGCCCAAGGGAACCTCTAGCAGCACCCGACTTAGAGGCAGCACAAAATAAAGGTTGCAGGTAAAAATGTACCCCAAGGAGGTACGACGAACAACATTAAAAGGATTACTATAGTTGTTGTCGTTGTTGTTATTGTAATTGAACTCTCACTCTCGAATAATACTTGTTGCTAATCCCCCCACCGGTGCACAATGCGTTGTTCAATTAAGATGCTCCCTCGGGGCTCGCATCCGGGTTGTATACCAAAGATACGATTCCTGCTCAAACTGTGTGTTTGCCCCCACGGCTACAACAACCACAGGCACCCGCTTGATACTTCCTGACAATGTATTCCAAATCGCACTCTCGCGCAGGAATGTCTCAATGTATACATACATCGCGCTCTCGCGTGGTACTTCCTCCCAATGTACTCAGACACCGCACCCTCGACACTCAGGAATCACGCTCTTTCTTTGGACTCTATTGCGATTTACTTGGGAATCGCGTTATCGCTCGAGACTTCCTCGCGATGTATGCAAAACTTAAGCTTCAACAGCCCGCCCGCTCGACCTGGACGGCTGCACCCGCCTTCCCGACCCGCCCGCTTGGGTCTTCCCGCACGATCTGCCCGTCTGGTTTTGCTACGTGTTTTCTGCTCCTGACCCCCCTCCTGCTAATTTCTCTCGTGCTCCATTATTCTCCCTTCCCGTTCCATCCGCCCTCGCTTTCCGTATTCCCCATCCTGTGGTGCTAGGTCCTCGTTTTGACCAGACGGTCCCCGCGTCCCTCCTCCCTCCTTCCTCCCCCTCCCCCCTCTTCCTTCCTCCATGCGTTTCACCCACCCAGTACGACGTTTCGTGGCCCCATAGGGAGCTCCACCGAAGGCCCCAGTGGCAGGGTTCGCATGGCGGCCCGCCCCGTTGTGGCGCTCCCCTCACACGGTTCGTGGCCCCATAGGGGGCTCCACCGAAGGCCCCAGTGGCAGGGTTCGCATGGCGGCCCCGCGCCATTTGGGGGCCCCATAGGGAGCTCCACCGAAGGCCCCAGTGGCAGGGTTCGCATGGCAGCCCCGCGTTTGGGCGCACCCCTCACACGGTTCGTGGCCCCACAGAAAGCTCCACTGGAAGCCCCAGTGGCAGGGTTCGCATGGCGGCCTTGCCCTATTTGGGCGCACCCCTCACACGGTTCGTGGCCCCATAATGAGCTCAATCGAAGGCCCCAGTGGCAGGGTTCGCATGGCGGCCCCGCGCCATTTTGGGAACCCCTCACACCGTTCGTGGACCCATAGGGAGCTCCACCGAAGGCGCCTGTGGCAGGGTTCGCGTGGCGCCCCGCGCCTCATTTTGTCGCACCCTTCACACGGTTCGTGGCCCCATAGGGGGCTCCACCGGAGGCCCCAGTGGCAGGGTTCACATGGCGGCCCCGCCTTGTTTGTGGCGCGCCCATCACACGGCTCGTGGCCCCGCAGGGAGCTCCACCAGAAGCTCCAATGGCAGGGTTCGCAAGACGGCCTAGCCCCATTTTTGCGAACCACTCATAGGTGTCGTGGCCCCATAGGGAGCTCCACTGAAGGTCCCAATGGCAGCTTCGCATGGCGGCCCCGCCTCATTTGGGCGCACCCCTCACACGGTTTGTGGCCTCATAGGGAACTCCACCAAAGACCCCAGTGGCAGGATTCGCATGGCAGCCCCGCGTTTGGGCGCACCCCTCGCACGTTTCATGGCCCCACAGGGAGCTCCACTGAAGGTCCCAACGACATGGTTCGCATGGCGGCCCAGCCCCATTTTGGCGCACCGCTCACATGGTTCGTGGCCCCACAGGGAGCTCCACCGAAAGCCCCAGTGGCAGGGTTCACGTGGCGGCCCCGCCCCATTTCGGCACACCCTTCACACGTTTCGTGGCCCCATAGGGAGCTTCACTGAAGGCCCCAGTGGCAGGGTTCGAATTGCGGCCCCGCCTCATTTTGGCGCAGCCCTCACACGGATCGTGGCCCCATTTAGAATTCACCTTGCTTCGTCCCACCTGCCCTGCGGTTCTCACACTTGCGTATGGTTGGGTCCTTCGCCAGGGTAAGTTTAGGGGCTGCGCTAAGTGCACCTGGCAAGTAAGAACGATATACCCCCAAAGGGGCAAGGTCAAAGACGAAGAAGATCGGCACAGAGGGTTCGGCATCTACGTGTTGAACGGCAGGCGAGCAGGTAAGAGCGACCAGTCTAAAAATAAGTGTTGTTGTTGGTGGTGTTTTTGTTGGTGGTGTTCGTGGTGGTGTTGTTGGTGTTGATGTTGATGCTGGTGTTGTTGATATTGTGTTTGTTGTTGTTGTTGTTGTTGTGGTTGTTGTTGTTGTGGTTGGACTCTCACTTCTAAATAATCAGAGCTGTCGATCCCCACTGCCCGGTAACCAGTATCTACTAAATTAAATGCGTCTCCTGGTGCTCGCACCCTGTTTTATATTGAAGGAAATCCAAATGTCAACAAACGGCGTCCCTGGCCCCCGTTTTACAACAACAGCAGCAGCAGCAACAACAACAACAACGACTCCCGCCTTGTAATCCCTCACAATGTATTTCAAATACGCGTTCTTGCGCGGGAATTCCTCCGAATGTATGCAAGAATCGTGCCCTCGCGTGGAACTTGTTCGCAATTTGTTTAACATCGCGCCTCCAACCCTTCGGAATCACGCTGTCGCTCTGGCCGTTATCACGATTTACTTGGGATTCGCGCTATCCCTCGAGACTTCCCCGCGGCTTATGCTCAGGCTTCGGCAACCCGCCTGCCGCCTACAGCACCAGAAGGGCACCCATCTCTGGAGCAAAGCACTTGTAGCCTAACCGTGCATGTTACGTCAGGGGCATGGATGGCAAAGCATAGGAACAACTAGAAGCAACACAGACGGTCAGTCATGTTCAGTCAGACATGTGGTGATCACATCGTCACGTGTTACAGGACAATGGGATTACTGTCCTAAAGCGAAAGGGCTACAGATGTGCTCACGCACGAGAGGAATGCAAGACGGGGAGACGGGAGGTCAGAATATTGGAGAGGGAGAAACACACAGGCAATGCCCCGGAGGGTGCAAACCATTATTTTGAAGAGACTTGTCTCTTCCCTTCTTCTCCTCGATCCTCCCCCTTGTCCTTGTCCCATCCCCATCGGTCTCCTCCTCCTCCTCCTCCTCCTCCTCCTCCTCCTCCTCCTACTCCTACTCTTCCTGCCCTCCAGGCCTCCCCCCGCTTCAGGTTACCCACGAGCCGCTTCCCCTCCCTCCTCGTCCTCGTCGTCGTCCGCCTCCTCCTCCTCCTCCTCCTCCTCCTTCTCATCGTCCACCTCCTCCTCATCCTCTTCCCCCTTCCTCCTCCCTCCTCCTGGACCCTCCTCCTCCTCCTCTCCTCCTCCTCCTCCTCCTCCTCCTCCTCCTCCTCCTCCCCCTCCCTCCACCCCCACCCCCTCCTCGGCGCCGACGGCGACAACCACGACGGCGAGAAACGACGATGTCGACGGCCACGTCGGCGCCGAGCCCGAGCGACAGCGGAGCGGCGGCGCCCACCGGGAGCGACACCACCAGGCTCATCTGCCAGGAGCCGCAGACGACCTGCTGGCGGAGGACGCAGCACACCCCCGCCCCCGCGGCCCCCGCGGGGTTCGCCTCGAACACGGTGACGAGGACCGCGAGGAGGACGGCGGCAGCGGCGGCAAGGAGGATTTTCGGGGACACAAGCCCTCAGAGCCGACGTTGCGAACAAATTGCAACGTCGCGGAAAATCACGACCTTGACCTGGGCCCCAGACCCCCAGACATCTTCAGGGGTGCATGTTGGCCAAACTTTCGAGGTGGATCCAGCCGTGGCGAAAAGGGCAACGGTACCGGAATCAATTCTTCTTCTGGGATCTAAATGTTTGGACGTGCTTGGTCATTGTAGGCCCCCCGCTGCCCTGCTGAAACATTTAGAGGCCCCAAACTGGGCGTTGCGCAATGGGGGGGGACAAATGGGTGGGGTGAAGAAAGGTGCGCTTTTTGTGTACATTAATCCCCCCCCTGGGGCCCAAACGGGGCACGAAAGGTACACGATTCTTCGCCCCTACTTAATCCCCTTTATTTATAAGCACCGACACAAAAGTCTGCAACGAAAGCGCTCTCAAAGACGGTGCGCGGGAAAGTAACCAGCCTCGAACTGATCCTTATCCCTGCGATGGCAATCTTAGGGGTGCGGCCTCAAACAACTGAGGGCTGGACCGTCAAAATCTACGACACCCTCGTGAAAAAGCGTCGGCAAGCCCGAATGCTGGCGCACTCGAGCCCTTACGTGTTCCCGACGTTTGAGCTCTGAGCTCCCGGGGAGCCGTCCACGGAAGGCAACGGTCCAAAGGTGCTCGACGAGGGAGGCTCCAGGGGCCGGGAGGCGATCGCGGGCTCTTCCCCCGCGCGCCTCGCAGTTCGGCGCGTCCTCGTCGGCCTGCCCGTCCGGGCGGGCACAGCGCGGGGGAGGCGGGAGAGGCGGACGAGCCCTGCTCGTTGCGACACTGCGGACGCGAGGGTCGCTACAAGGCCCGGGCCCCGCCCGGGGAGGGAGCTCGGGAAAGGGCGGAGCTCCACGGCGGCTCGGGCGGCCAGTAAAGCATAGGGGGGGATAGGATCTGAAGGAAGCGGGTCCTGGACCCCGGGGGCCTTCCCCCAGCACGCGCTTGACAACGTGAGCAGTTTTCCTGAGAGTCCCCGGGCCCGTGGAGGGCCCCGAGAGCCTGAAAGCGGCGAAAACCCCCAGGACCCGCTTCCCCCATAGCGAGAGGGGGGAGAGACGCAGGCAAATGGCGACGGACGCACCAGTGGAAAGACGGAGCCGGAGGAGGGGGTGGGGGGCGGGCGGACGGAAGGGGGCTGGACAAATCCAGTTGGCAGGGGGCAGGAGGAAGGAAAACACAAATGAGCAACGAAAGGGAAGGGGTCTCACGCCGCGAGATGACGTGGTGACCTTGCGCCGCAGCTTGCGCGGGCCGCCGGCGCGGCACGATACTTTGGAGACGGGGGTGCTCACGCGCGACATTACGCAGGCAAGTCACGCGCCAATGTCGGCGAAGAACCCCATTTTTTCCGGTCGCTCAATTGCCCACAAGCCCTGCGGCGGCAGCTACTGCTACCCTGGTGTCCCCTGCGGCACTCGACATTTCAGGTTGCCTGGTGCGTCTCGCAAACACCAGCGCCGACACGGCCCTGCCACAAACCGACTGCAGTCTGAGTGCGTGCACCGACTGGAGCTTTGAGAGCGGGGCTGATTACTGCCAGGGGGCCTGCCACCCCAACGGCGGCATGGAAGACGGATGCCGCTCAGCGACGAACACTTCACGCCGCTCTGCCACTCGCCCCCCCCCCTCAGAAGAGCTTCCCCCTGCGGTGCTGCACACTTTTTCAGTGCGCGGGCGCCTAGTGGTCCAAGACAGTCGGACGCCGGTCAGCAAGCGGCGGGGCACACCGCAGCGAATTGGGGCACGACGGCGAAAGGGAACAGAGCGCGAGTGAGGACGAGGCACGAGCGCGCTGCACAATCCTCGTCCTCCTCCTTCTCCCCCTCGTCCTCCATGCCTCCTCTGAGGGGGGGAGCCGGGAGCCCCGTCCTCCCCTTACACTGGCGCGCCTCGCGGAGAGCAGAGGGGGGCAGGGTCAGGACCAGGAGCGCCTTTTCTAAAAAAAAACCTTCTTCTTCGCCATCTACCCCGTCCCTCTTCCTCTTCCTCCTCCTCCTCCTCCTCCTCCTCCTCCTCCTCCTCCTCCTCCTCCTCCTCCTCCCCCTCCTCCTCCTCCCTCCTCCTTCCTCCTTCCTCCTTCCTCCTTCCTCCTTCCTCCTTCCTCCTCCTCCTCCTCCTGCCTCCCTCCCTCCCTCCCCTCCTCCCCCCTCCGTCTCCGCGGCCCCGGCACACGTCCACCTTTGGGGCGAGTGGCCACCGGGGCCAGGCGTGTGAGGCGAGTCCGAATCCGCCGCCGAAGGAACCGCCGAGCCTCGAGCCGTCTTCGGGCCCTGGCTGGGCCGGCCCAGCCTGTGGGAGAAGGAGCAGCAGCAGGAGGAGGAGGACGAGGCGGGGGAGCCGACTGGCTGCAGCAGGGGCGGCCCGGCGGGGAAAGGGGAAAGGCGGGGGGGGGGGGGCGGGGGACGGGGGGCGGTGATGGTCGTGGGGGACGTGCTGGGTGGTCGTAGTGGTGGCCGTGCTGGCGGTGGTCGCGCTGCCGGGCGGCCGTGCAGGTGGTGATCGTGCTGGGTGGTGGGTCTGCTGGTGGCCAGTCAGCCGGCGGGGCTGGAGGTGGTCTGCTGGCGGTGGTCGCTGGCGGTCGTGCCGGTGGCTGGTCTGCTGGTGGAGCCCGAGGGCCTGCTGGTCGGGCTGGTGGTGGACGTGCTGGTGGTCGTGGTCTTCGTGGTGGTCAGCAGCTAACCGTTCTGGCGTTGGTCGTGTGGGTGGCGGTCGTGGCGGACTACTGCCCGAGGGCGCTCAGCACCATCTCGGCGTTCCCCTTGTGAAGGGTCACCGAGAGATCCCACCACAAGCGGCCGAGGAGTTCCCCCCGCTCTCCCTCCCTCCCTCCCTCCCTCCCTCCCTCCCTCCCTCCTCCTCCTCCTCCTCCTCCTCCTCCTCCTCCTCCTCCTCCTCCTCCTCCTCCTCCTCCTCCTCCTCCTCGTCCTCCTCGTCCTCCTCGTGTTCCTCGTCCTCATCCTCCTCGTCCTCCTCGTCCTTCTCGTCCTCCTCCCTCCTCCTTCCCCTCCTCCTCCCTCCTCCTCCTCCTCCTCCACCTCCACCTCCTCCTCCTCCTCCTCCTCCTCCTCCTCCTCCTCCTCCTCCTCTCCTCCTCTCCTCCTCTCTCCTCCTCCTCCTCCTCCTCCTCCTCCTCCTCCCCTCCTCCTCCTCCTCCTCCTCTCTCCTTTTCCTCCTCCCTCCTCCTTCGCCGCGGAACAGCCCACCCTGCACATTAGAAGGCGCCAGCCGGGGGGGGGGGCGGAGGCGGTGTCTCTGGAGGGTTCGCCAGGATTCGATTCGAGGGAGGCCCACACGGCCTCCGGAGCACCCCTCACAAGGCCAGGGGCCCCAGAATCGATCGAGAAGCTGGAGGCACCTTGGGCAAGGGACACTTTCAGCAGCACCCGACGCCGCCACATAACATAGACCGCCAAGGACGGCTGAGAAGGCCCCCTGCGCCACCGCCGTCTTAGCAGGCCGGCTCCCTCGCGCCACCCCCTTCTGGGCGCCATCAGCGAAAGGAGGAGACGCTGCGCCAAGCCGTGGTACGACGAGGGCCCGCATTGCAATAAAACAAGACTGCCCCAACCAAACCTGTCCTAACATAATATCGTACAAAACAGAACAAAGGAAACTAGAAACCGGGTGCAATGTGCCTATACAGTCATCCTGCCCAGGAACGGACCAAAGACCAAAGCCCCTCCAGAGTCCAAAGTGGTCCTCAAAAATTCCATCGTCTTGGCTGTATGTGGGTCGGGACGCTTCGCCGCTGCACGAACCGTTGCCTCACCTCCGAGCTTCGAGCCGATAGCACGTGTATCTGTCGGATGCTGCCACGCTGTCTCACCGAAATCGGGGAAACGTAAGACTCGGGTTCGGGGTTCGGGGGACTCGGCTTGGCCTGACGGGGTCGCAAGGAAAATGACGAGACTCTCCGTGACGAGACCCAACTAAAATTTGACGCGACCTCCCGCTGCAAGCATCCCGCGAAAAATGGGGCGTCAAAAGGCGTCGGCAAATCCGAGTTCCGGCGAACTCGAGCCCTACGTCTCCCCGACCAAGGCCCTCCTCTGGACACAAGCTGGCGGCAGGGGTCCGCTCGAGCAGGCCCGCGGCAGGCGCCCCCCCCTTCGAAGGCACTTGGCAGCGCGCACAAGGGGGCATGGGGGGAGGGGGGGGAACTTCTTTCAGGGGGACGTAAGACCTGGGTACAGGGGACTCGGAAATCCCCGACGAGGTCGTCAAAAAAATGACGAGGCCGAGCCTGCATTTTGACGAGGCCTCCCGCTGCAGGCATCCCACGAAACTCCTCCTCGTCAAAATCCGAGGCGCAGTCGTCAAAAAACGATGGCGAACCCGAGTCCTGGCAAACCCGGGTCTTACGTTCCCCCGATTCTTGGAGGGTGGCTGCTTCTCCGAAGGCACCGGTCCTGCATCTGCAGACCTGTGGCCCGCGCCCTCCAGGAGGCGGGGGTGCTTCTGAGCAGCCCTCCCCCCTCCCCCTTCACCTCCTCTGCGTGTAGCCGAGGCGCGGGGCGGGGTCTTCCGCCCGGTGCTCCCCCGCTCGCGGACGGGCCCCCTGACCCGGCCCTCCGCGCCGGCGCGACGCGCTGCCGGGGGCCCCGCCGGCCAGGAGAGCAGCAAGGTTCTGAAGCAATTCGTGGAAGTCTCGCATACCATCTTGATTCGGCGGCGAGTGCGAAGGAGAAGGCCTTCTCAGAAGGCGGCGGGACTTCTGAGAGGCCCTCGCGACAGGAGGCTTCTCGAAAGGCCAGGGGGCTTTCGAGCCTTCTGAAAAGGCCCGCCCCATATCACTTCCCCCCAGGCTGGGCGCCGATGGTTAGCTATTGCGAATCGGCGCTAGTCGACGCTAGCCGACGCGCATCGAGGCGAATGGACGCAAGATTGGAGCTGTCTCATCGACAACTTGACGCTGATCGACGCTAGCGCACTCTAATTAGCAACAAACTTACGAGGGTATACAAGGCTCCGGTGATATGGTTTGCTACCGAAGCGACCCACTTCGGCGGCGAGCCCAGGGGGGAAGTCTGACGGGGCGGGCCTTCTCAGAAGGCGCGAAGGCCTCTGGCCACCTGGGAAGTTCTATGAGCCTTCTCCGAAGGGACCGAAAGCTTCTCAGAAGGCGCGAGAGCTTTTGAGAAGCCCCGCCGCCTTCTGAGAAGGACTGCCCCATCTCATTTTCCCCCTGGGCTCGCCGTCGACAGCCAGCCAGGAGAGCAGCAAGCAGGCGCACGCGACTCACGCCCATGCGTGGACAGGAAGCGACCACAACCACATCGAGGACGCACCCTGGTAGGTGTCTTGCTCATGCCAACAATTGCCAGAAAACCGAAACCAGCGAACTACTGGCTGTGGTCGGTGTGGGCGTGGCAGCATGGCCAAACCGACCACAACCACATGCGAAGGGTTCATGCCGAGGTCGGCGGGTTCTGCCCCGAGGGGCCCCTTCAGAAACACCCACGTAGCTGTGGTTGTGGTTCCTTGTTGAGCCCGGAACCTCGTCGCGCCGCATAGGGAAAACAAACACGCGGACGCTTGTTGGTCACTTTCAACCTCTAGGGGCCCTGACCAGGCCCGGGCACCGCCAAAAGACAACTCGGGATGGACGGCGGGTCCATAGGAAGGGGTCTGGACCTGTGGGGGTTCGCGTCGCGAAGCACATCGCGACGACGGAGGTCTGGGAGCGCACGCGCAGAGAGCGTTTCTGGAGCGGCGGGGGCCTGGGGCGGCGGCGCCACACTGTGGGGACCGGAGTAAGAGAGGGCGGCAAGGATGGGGCCAGGGATGAGGCGGAGGAGGAGGAGGAGGAGGGAGGAGGAAGAGGAGGAGGAGGAGGGAGGAGGAGGAGGGAGGAGGAGAGAGGAGGAGGAGAGAGGAGGAGGAAAACAAGGAGGTAAAGGAAAAGGACGAGGACGAGGGATGAGGAGGAGGCGGAGGAGGAGGAGGAGGAGGAGGAAGAGGAGACAGGGAGAGATGGTGGAAGAGGGCGGCGCCCTATAGATATCCATCGATGTTTCAATGGGAGCTGCTGCTCCAGAACTCGCGGTGCACATCAACATGGCACAACCTACTTGCACTGCTCGTGCATATCCGATACCTGCCGAGGTTTGCTGACATCGGGCTAGTAATCGCTTTGCCATAGATCATATATGTTTCCATGGGAGTTGCTGCTCCAGAACTCACGATGCACATCATCATGGCACAACCTACTTGCACTACTCGTGCATATCTGATACCTGCCGAGGCGTGTTGCAAACGGGCTAGTAATCGCTATGCGCGCACCGCTGCTGCAACGCCTGCTCAAGTATCATAATCCCCTGGACCATCCCCTTGGCCTTGCTGCTAGCAATGGCGAGATATGACAGGGGGCTGCGAACTCCTGGCGCGCTCTAGGATGATGGCAAGCACCGCATGTAGAGAAAGAGAGGGCGACACATGACCCAACGAGGGGTTATGACACACAACTCTGCATCACCGCCCGACCCATTCTCAAACTCATTGGGCAGGAAATGCACGGACACAGATGGTCGTCTGGATGCAGATGTGGCGACGATCAAATCGTACCGTACTTGCGCGTATGCGGCGTGCCTCCCGGTCGTTGTTATACACCAGCTCACGTCGATACACGCTTGGCATACAAGATATGGCAGATTAACGGATGTAGCTGAACGTGTACTTTCACATGCTGTATGTACGCATGATGTTGACATCTTCAGATGGCGTCCCAAAGGAAGGACGACCACGTCCTCCGTGCAGACCCAAGGTAAACAACACTTACTCACCGCGTGGGCGTAGGTGGCTTTGGGACTTAGTTTGTTCTACCTCCGCTGTCCCTTTGAAGAGAGATTTGCCCCTCCCCCGACCCTCTCGCCATGGGTCTGGAGGAGGCCTGTTGCGAGGTGGGAATCGTGCAATCTGGCTCAATACTGATATTCCACATGATGTGGCCTCCGAGATTCCACATGGTATCGCAAGATGGTTCAATACAACTTCCACCATGCCTCCAAAACGCGCCATGACAGTCCGAAGGCGGCTCTAAGTGGTCACGGAACCAAGCACAAATCCTCCCGAAAGGCCAAATTACTTCCGACACCTGAGACAGATCAATGTGTGTTGTGCTCGCCTTCTTGCTTCCGATGGGCTCGTGAGGCATGGCTCCACCATGGCCCAAGATAGCACAAATCCGCCATCGTGCCTCCGGGCACAGAGTGGGCGTGTCCTCAGGTATGTTGCCTAACCCCTGGAGCCTTAGTCCTCAGTCCTGGGGGTCTTTGCCCAAAACCCTAATTCTGAAATTTGGCAGGGATTCCCGCGGTTCCCCTGGGCTCCTACGCGTCTTTCCTTTTGACTTGTTAGGGCCCAAGAGGGCCCCAAGACGGCTCCACGACGGTCCAAGAGAGTCCCCAGTCGAAGAATAATCGCTCCAAGACGCTCAAGGTGGCCCCCAGGCGGCCCAAGATGCCTCCAAGACGCCCCAAGAGGCTTCCAAAAGGCCTTCCAAGAAGCCAAACTCGTTGACTATCCTCAATTTCCCGAGAGGCCTCCAAGAGGGCCAAACCGACCCAAAAAGGCTCCAAGACGACCGAAGGAGGCCTCAATACGGCCCCAAAAGGAGCCCAAGAGAAGGAACACGAACCGAACATCCGAGCCTTCCGCCCCAAGAGGCCCCCCAGAGGCCTCAAGAGGCGCCTAGGAGGCCCCAAGAGGCCCCCGTGAGGCTCTAAGAGGCCCCCAAGAGGCCCAATGGAGGCCCCGAGATGACTGACACGGCACCCGGGAGGCTCCAAAACGGTCCCCAAGAGGCCTTCAAACTGCCTCCAAGAGGCCCCCGCGGGGCCTCAATTGAGTATCGTTTGTCCGATCCCTATCCCCAGCGGCGTGGCCTGGGCCCCACTGGCCGATTTACCCCTCTAGATGGGGATATAAGCCGTTCCCTTCGGGTTTCGAGGGGTGTATCCCCAACTGGGGGGGTAATTTGGTGGGGGTCTCGAAGGGGATGGGGACGGGGATGGGGATTGGAGAAACGATACTGATCAATCGAGATCCCGACGAGAACATCCCGTGGGTACCCACAACCCACGGCACCGTGGCGGGATGGACACGACGGCCAGCGCCTGCAATGCACCTCCACGGGGGCTCAGCGTCGATCCGAGAAATCCGCGAGGACGTTCCCAAAGTTTATGGTCATTCTCCTCCTCCTCCTCCTCCTCCTCCTCCTCCTCCTCCTCCTCCTCCGCGAGGACGTTCTTCGATGGAGGGCAGAAGAACCACCATCGACGCTTAAGAAGCACCCCGACAGGCAAAGCCGCTAGCAGATGCACCCAAGCCGCCGCAGTTCTTCTTCGGCGGATGTCGACCTGTCGTCATCCTCGTGTTTTTACGTTGAGCGGACCTGAACCCTAGAGGTTGTGGCGTCTGCTCTCGTGGGGGGGGGCAAGGGACTTGTAATGGATGGGGGTGCGGCTCCTCCTCCTCGCCCTCCTCCAACTCCACGTCCTCTCTGTTCTCATCCTCTCCTCTCCTCCTCCTCCTCCTCCTCCTCCTCCTCCTCCTCCTCCTCCTCCTCCTCCTCCTCCTCCTCCTCCTCCTCCTCCTCTTCGTCCGACACCAACACGTACAGATACCATGCCGCTACTCCCCAAACCTCTCCCAGGGTACGCTCTGACAATAAATCCGGAGCGAAGTCCAACGGTGGCGACGAGGGCCTCTGGGGAGTCAAAGCCGCGCTAACGGCGATGTTTGCTAAAGGCGATGTCGGGAATCCGATGTTTGTGACACCGAGCTCGCGCAGAACAAAGTGTAGGACATCACGAACCACACTCCCTTACATTTAACATGTGCGAACGTATCGAGCGAAAACGACACAGCGAATTGTAGCAAAGCGCGAATTACGATGTCCTTCGATTGTTTTGGCCACGAACCAATCCCACCTACAACGCCGAAACCTACATCGCCGTTGCCTGCATTGCCGTTAGCGCGTCTAAGAAAACAGGCGAGAAATGGGCGGTGGTAGCGGTATGGGTAACTGTTCCACCTTTGAGCGGACCTCTATCCACGGGATTGTAGCGCCTGCGATCGGGGGATGGCCAAGGACGGGCGCTGGAAGGGGGTGGGGCCCCTCCTCCTCCTGCCGTTCCTCCTCCTCCTCGCCCTGCTCCTCCTCTCCATCGCCTTCCTCCTCCTCCTCGTGCTCTTCTGAGACCGCCCCCCGTTCCTCCTCGGGCCCCCCTGCCAGCTCCCGCGGCGCGGCGGGGCCATCCTGCCCGGGCGTCCCGCTCGCGCAGCTCGCTGCCGCGGCGCTCCGACCGCCCCCGCCGGTCCAGCCACACGGCGTCCTGCGGAGCCGCGGGAGGGCCCAGAGCCGAAGACCCCGGGCGCGCAGCCCGGGGATGACAAACAACCGGGCGAAGATGCTGGCGAAGCACCTGGTTGCGAGGTCCGGGTGCGCGAACTGGGGCGGAGAACCCGGGCTAACACGGCCCTGAAACTGGAACTCCGGGCGCACTGTATCGAGATTCTCCTCCTCCTCCTCTTCCTGGAGCAGGCGGTAGGAGTGAGAGGGATGATGATGATGATGATGATGATGATGATGATGATGATGATGATGATGATGATGATGATGATGATGATGATGATGATGTGGATGATGATGAGGATGAGGAGAGATGAGTATGATGATGATGCTGATGATGATGATGCTGATGATGATGATGATGATGGTGATGCTGATACTGCTGATGCTGCTGCTGCTCCTGCCGCTGCTGATGCTTTTTCTGACGGCAACGTCGACAACGGACGACGGACGACGACGATGAAGATGCAGATGACGATAAAGATGAATGTGGTGATGATGATGATGCTGATAATGATGAGGATGAGTATGCTGATGGAGGTGGTTGATGCTGATGATGATGAGGATGATGATGCTGATGCTGATTAGGAGTATGATGGTGGTGATGATGGGGATGATGCTGATGCCGATGACGATGCTGATGCTGATGCTGGCTATGCCGGTGCCGATGTCGCTCTTGATAATGACGTTGATGTTGTTGTTGCCGATGATGATGCTGATTATGAGGCTGATAATGCTGATGGAGTGAATGTGACGGTGATGCTGATTATGATGGCATTGCTGATGTTGCGGCTGATGCAGATGGTGGTGGTGGTGATAGTGTTGCTGATGTTGATGCTGCTGCTGATAATGATGATGATGGTGATGCCGATTGTGAAGATGATGATTCTGATGCTGGAAAGGATGCTGACAATGATGATGATGATGATGATGGAGATCCTGATGGGGATGATGATGATGATGATGATGATAATGATGGTGATGGTGATGGTGATGATGATGATGATGATGATGATGCTGATACCGATGCTGCTGACGATGATGATGGTGCGGATGATGCTGCTGATGATGATGATGATGATGGTGGTGATGATGATGCTGCTGATGATGATGAACGGGGATGCAGCGTAACGAGGATGGAGCGTAAAGAGCTCGTGAAGGGTTGTGAAGTGGCGGCGGTGGCGGAAAAAATGTCGGACCGCATCGAACAGACCGCCGACTAAGAGCGCACTGCGAAAGAGGCATTCGCGTCGTGCGACCTACCGTGCGAGGATCGTGAGAAGGATCCCACCGCCATGGGGATGCAACCCCACGGTGGCCGCGGACCACCTGACCGCGCCTTCCTTAGAGCCACCAACACGACCCGAGAGGCCCCCATGATCGTCCCAAGACAACCCAAGAGGCTGCCAGGAGGGCCCCACAGCGGTCCAAGAGGGCCCCAAGACGGTCCAAGATGCTCGCAAGAGGGCTCAAGAGGCTACAAAGAGGGGGAGCTCGAACTGAGACTTCGAGCCCGTCCCTCAAAGATTACCTCCGAGACTGCCAGATGACCTTCACAAGGCACCCAGAGGCCCCCAAGACCAGTCCCAAGAAGTCCCGAATATCCCCCAAAGATGCCCCACGAGGCTCCAAAAATGCCCCCGCGAGCACGCAAGCAAGCGCCAATGAGCTACAATGTACCCCCAAGAAGCTCCCATGACGGCCTAAGAGGGCCTCAAGAGGGGTCCAGGAGGGAGAACTACCCCGAGAGGCCCACGACTGTTCGCGCAAGACTTCAAGAGAACTACCGCCAACCATCAACGCCGCAATGGCAACGACCAGGCGGGCAAACGCCCGCGATGGAGTAGTCTGAACCCGCGGGCTGAACGAACCGATTGAACAATCCCACTGAATCCAAATAAAAAACTCAACCACCATGTAAACAGTTCCTTGGGACCCCATCGCAGACTTGATTGAATCCGCTGCCCCCGTGGAGCCTGGCTGGGCATAGTCGAGCGCACAGACGGGTGCGAACCGCTCATCCTCTCTGTGCCCAATACTTCACTGCTGCTCTCGGACTTCACGAACAAAAACATCTGCGAGACGCGAATCCGAAGGCACCGCGGGGACAGCCGGGGACCTCTGCTCCCGTCGAGGACGTCAACTCCAGCAGAGTGTCCGATAATCTCTGAGCCTCTTTCGCACAGCTCAAAACACCACGGCGTCCTCAGATCGGGCTGCAACTATTCGCGGGCGAGGGTGGACGGCCATTCGAAGGGATCCCTAAGCTTGCTCTTGAGCAGCCTCAGGCAACCTCGAGCTGGCATCGCCGAGGAGTCGAGAAAAACGATCACCTAGCTCGATCCCCGTGACTCCTTCTCCTTCTGCTTCTGCCCTTCCCCCCCCTCCAAATACGCGTCGTCACAGCCACGGGAGCAACCCAGACGATGGAGCAGCTTCACGTGTACCAACGACCCTACTCCCAAGGACTATAAAGATGCCCTCAAACATCCCCCCCAAAGCCCCCAAACTGCTGATAGACCACAACACGGAACAAAATGTAGATGCAGATACACACGCGCACAGTCTGCACACTGGAAGCACATATACACTTTCACACACACACACAACGCGCAAACAACCATGCCCATACCTACATACCAATGTTGAACACAATAGTGAGGCTTTCATGCGTACCTATGCTTACACACTGTTACATGCGCCGATCGGATTACAACACGCACGCCAAACAATTCAAATCACACAAGCAGACGAATCTACACACCAACTCATACATACAACTGTAAGCGCAAAAGTTCATACACAAAGCACAAGAGCGCGCGCGGGCGCACTCTCAACTTTGTGATTTCCCCCCTCCGTCGCCCTTACCCTCCTTCGTGCCACATGTCTTCCTTCGAGTTTGTAAAAATACGTATGCAATAATGTAAACTAATAGTGGGCACATGCCTGCAATAATGCAACGATGCGCATACCGCCCAATCATTGAGTCACACGTACAACACACAAACACACAAATAATGTTGAATAAGACGGAACCAAGACCAGGACAAACTTAAATCATAACAAAGCGGGAACCTCTAAGAGGCGGCGGCTCTGGATAATACCTGCGGCGCCGCGGCCGCTCTAGAACGTTACAGAACGCCCTGGAAGCGTTCCCGAAAGCTGACATGTGCTGGTGCACGGCCCGCCCTGGAGAAATGCGGCAACTTTTGCAAATCGTGTCGACAAGTCGTCCAGAGGACTAGCTTTCAATCTTGGGTCCGCGGAGCCTCGCGGAGCCCGCAAACGCCCCCCGGAGGTCAAAAGCTACAATTAGCCTGGCGAAGGACCCAACCATATGCAACTGTGAATACCGCAAGTGTGAATATCGTTTTCGGCGGCGCTACCTCTGGGTAGTGGAGACGCATGCGAACACCCCCACTGGGCCTTCGGTGGAGCTCCCTATGGGGCTACGAAACGCTGCCCTGGGTGGGGGAACCGCATGCAGGCAGCCCCACTGGGGCCTTCGGTGGAGCTCCCTGTAGGGCCACGAAACGCTGCCCTGGGTGGGGGAACCGCATGCGGGCACCCCCACTGGGGCCTTCGGTGGAGCTCCCTCTGGGGCTACGAAACGCTGCCCTGGGTGGGGGAACCGCATGAGGGCAGCCCCACTGGGGCCTACGGTGGAGCTCCCTCTGGGGCTACGAAACGCTGCCCTGGGTGGGGGAACCGCATGTGGACACCCCCACTGGGGCCTTCGGTGGAGCTCCCTCTGGGGCTACGAAACGCTGCCCTGGGTGGGGGAACCGCATGTGGACACCCCCACTGGGGCCTTCGGTGGAGCTCCCTATGGGGCCACGAAACGCTGCCCTGGGTGGGGGAACCGCATGTGGACACCCCCACTGGGGCCTTCGGTGGAGCTCCCTATGGGGCTACGAAACGCTGCCCTGGGTGGGGGAACCGCATGTGGACACCCCCACTGGGGCCTTCGGTGGAGCTCCCTCTGGGGCTACGAAACGCTGCCCTGGGTGGGGGAACCGCATGTGGACACCCCCACTGGGGCCTTCGGTGGAGCTCCCTATGGGGCACGAAACGCTGCCCTGGGTGGGGGAACCGCATGTGGACACCCCCACTGGGGCCTTCGGTGGAGCTCCCTATGGGGCTACGAAACGCTGCCCTGGGTGGGGGAACCGCATGTGGACACCCCCACTGGGGCCTTCGGTGGAGCTCCCTATGGGGCCACGAAACGCTGCCCTGGGTGGGGGAACCGCATGCGGACACCCCCACTGGGGCCTTCGGTGGAGCTCCCTATGGGGCCACGAAACGCTGCCCTGGGTGGGGGAACCGCATGTGGACACCCCCACTGGGGCCTTCGGTGGAGCTCCCTATGGGGCTACGAAACGCTGCCCTGGGTGGGGGAACCGCATGTGGACACCCCCACTGGGGCCTTCGGTGGAGCTCCCTATGGGGCTACGAAACGCTGCCCTGGGTGGGGGAACCGCATGTGGACACCCCCACTGGGGCCTTCGGTGGAGCTCCCTATGGGGCTACGAAACGCTGCCCTGGGTGGGGGAACCGCATGTGGACACCCCCACTGGGGCCTTCGGTGGAGCTCCCTATGGGGCTACGAAACGCTGCCCTGGGTGGGGGAACCGCATGTGGACACCCCCACTGGGGCCTTCGGTGGAGCTCCCTATGGGGCTACGAAACGCTGCCCTGGGTGGGGGAACCGCATGTGGACACCCCCACTGGGGCCTTCGGTGGAGCTCCCTATGGGGCCACGAAACGCTGCCCTGGGTGGGGGAACCGCATGTGGACACCCCCACTGGGGCCTTCGGTGGAGCTCCCTATGGGGCTACGAAACGCTGCCCTGGGTGGGGGAACCGCATGTGGACACCCCCACTGGGGCCTTCGGTGGAGCTCCCTATGGGGCTACGAAACGCTGCCCTGGGTGGGGGAACCGCATGTGGACACCCCCACTGGGGCCTTCGGTGGAGCTCCCTATGGGGCCACGAAACGCTGCCCTGGGTGGGGGAACCGCATGTGGACACCCCCACTGGGGCCTTCGGTGGAGCTCCCTATGGGGCTACGAAACGTGTGAGAGGTGTGCCGAGAGCAGAGGCAAGGAGGGGGAGGAGGGGGAGGAGGAGGAGGAGAGGAGAGGAACGCGGGGCACCGTCTCTTCAAAACGAGGACCCAACACCACAGGATGGTTGGGAAAAAATCTAAAGCGACGAAGACGGATTTTGAAAACGATTCAGATTGCACACTTCTTCAACGGCAGTGGGCCCACCCGGAGTTGTCCAAGGAGCACGCGACTCATTCGGGGAGACGTAAGACCCGGTTACGGGGGACTCGGAAATCCCCGACGAGGTCGTCAAAAAAATGACGAGGCCGAGCCTGCATTTTGACGAGGCCTCCCGCTGCAGACATCCCACGAAACTCCTGCTCGTCAAAATCCGGGGCGCGGTCGTCAAAAAACGATGGCGAACCCGAGTCCTGGCAAACCCGGGTCTTACGCTCCCCCGACTCATCACAGAGTTCGGCCGCGCACCCGAAAAGGAACCCGAGTTACCCCTGACCCGAGTTACCCCTGATGATTCGGGGCTCTTGGACGCCCGAAATATCCGGGGTAACTCGGGTCCGGGATAACTCGGGTTCGGAATCCCGAAAAGCGAACCCGAGTTATCCCTGACCCGAGTTACCCCTGATGATTCGCGACTCATCACAGAGTTCGGCCGCGCACGTGTCTGCGGAGCTCCTCCTGCCCTCGCACGTCCTGCCGGGTCTCCCCGGCGCCCGAGGCCGGCCGCGCGCCCCTCCCCCCCGCCGACTCTCGGCGGACGGGCCTCCGCCCTCTTCCAGTAGAGGCGACCAGGGACAAGCGAGCAAACATACAGAAGCCCCAGCATGCCCAATCTGTTCTGTACGATCTGACTGTTTGTCTTCCCCTCCACTCCCCATAGATTCCAGGGGGAAACCCAAACCTACCTCGCGTTTGACCACCCTCGCTTCCAAGAGATACCAAGCGATGCCAGATTGCAGCCTGTGCTGGTCAGGCCGCTTGACGAGGAGGCGCGTGGTATGGCTTGGTTTTGCCTGGAAGCGAAAGCGGGGTAGGTAATTCACGCTCTGAGATTCGCAAATTCCCGGGGAAGCGACGATCATTTGTGCCTGTGCGTCTCCCCTCGACTCCTCTTCTTTTCCCTCCCCCTTCGCGCCCCGAGCCCGGCGCGTGCCGGCGGTGCACACACCCGCGCCCGCGATGGCCAGCGCTGCCCATCCGAAGCAACTGCGGCGCGCTCCTTTCGGGAGCGGCCCAGCGGGGTGCCCAGGACGTAATGACCGGCGGCCTGCGCGCGGCCCAGCGGGGTGTCCAGGACGTAATGAAACAAGAAGAGGCGCCATGAGATCTGGGGAAATATCATGGCCCACGCCATGATATCTACCCCCCCCTAGTCATCACCCCCCTCTTTTCCGCCCCCGATCCTTGGCCTGCAGGCCGAGGGCCTCGTCGGGGGCCGGGATCGCGTCCCCGGGGTGGAGCAGCAGCAGGGAGTACAGAGCCTCGCCGCCTGCGCAGGCACGGGCGCGGAGGGTGCAGCCGAGCGGGCACAGAGGACGCAGCCCCCGAGCTCGCGGGAGGGAGGGGAGCGGCAAGGGCGGGCTGCGTTTGCTTTGGCGGCGGGATTCTTTGGGAGAGGAGGTAGGCACGCTGAGGGGACGAAGCGAGCACCTGATGATCGTCGTCCCACACGTCGGTAACGTCAGCAAGTGGAGGAAACACCGGGAGAGAGAACATCTATCAATGGCACGCTGCCGTGGTTAGCCCGTCAGCGTGTTGCTCCTTCGTTTGTGCCCGAATACCTGGCGTTCCTTCAACAGTACCTCGCCTCGCTGATGGGTTCCCCACGGCGGGGCGTCAGTAGTTCTGTGTTGCTCCCCGACCTACGATGGAAACATCACTACTCCACGACGCAGACGTGGACCTGCGGGCGAGTCCGATGAGAGATGGGGCAGCTGGACGAATTTGGGGCCTGGGCCGACCTCCGAGGATGTCTCGAGCGCATGGGGCTGCTGGCCCCCTGGCCGTTGGGTGACAGACCGTTCAGTGAGATCCTCATTGGTGGTTCGGGCTCGTTGGACGGTCTGTCTTCCGACAGATCCCTGGATCCACAAACGCAGCATCCACGCTTAAGGGTCGAGCTTGACCTGCACTGCGGGCTGGATGTCGCCAAATGCCTTGCGACGTCTATATCAGGCGCACGCTTACATGAATTACAGATCTGTGGATCTGGCGCGTGGGCGCGAGATCCACCGATCGGGGTACGGGGCAAGGTCGCTTGATCTGCAGACGGAAGGCACCGATTCTGCGCGGCAACGGGCTCCGTCGCTAACTCGCGCATCTTAATCCGTGTTTGCGCCTCCTTAGCTCTAGTGCATGTTTCCTTTTCGTCCTTATCCTCCCCCTCCTCCCTCCGACACGGCCCTGGGGCACCCCCGAAAGGACCAACACCCAGAAAGGGACAACCAGGGCAACCACAAAAGGCGTCCCCGCCGCCCGCACGCCGGCGAGACCCCCACTTTCGGTGAGGGGTTCCGCCAGAGGAGGGGGAGGAGGAGAAAGAGGCGAACCCTTTGTCGCACCCCTCCGGCCCGACTTGGGAGGAATAGGCAAGGGGCTGTGTCTGACTATCGTGCGCCGTGGCCTCTGGCATCTTCGTGACTTGAACCACGCGCGCGCTTCGCGCGCGGTTAGGTTCTAGTCGCGCTCAAAGACATATCATGGCACATCAACTTACCGCTGGGTATTGCCAGGTTGAGTCGGGATTTCCCTTAAGGTTGGTCGTTAGACCTGCCGCCGCTTGATATGAAAACCCGAAAGTAATGTAATGGGGGCCTTTAAGGGCTTCGACGACGCGTCGTCTGGCGCTTAAAGAGATCAAAAAGAAGAACTGGGATGCCCGAGTCTGGCTCCGTATTGCACATCGCTTAAGCCCAATCATGATGCATCGGGACCCTTGCGCGCTTAGCACGGGCTCAAGTTCTAGCCAATCATCGCACATCGGCGCATGCTGTTCTACACCATGGAGATCCTTTCCTACTCTGGCTCTGACTCTGACTCTGATTATTACTGCTGCTTGTCCTCCCTCTCTCCTCCTTTCTCGTCACTTTCATTATCTTCCTTGCTCCGCCTTCTCCTCCTCCTCCTCCTCCTCGGCATGCGCCTTCTGTGGTATTCTTGGCCTTGATCGTTGACGCCCCTTTGGCCTGGATCCCCGTCTCATCCACGATCGTTTTCCCGATGGCCTCCGAAATGGTCCCAAGAGAAGCTCGACAGCTCAAAGGCATGGGCCCCAAAAGCCCCCAAAGGGTCCCCTAGAGGCGCCCATGACACCAGAATCCTTCAAACACCGTGGGTAAATAACAGATTTTGGACTTCTCACCGGTTCGTTTTCGGCGTGCTTCCCGGGTTTCAAGATGACTCCCAAATAAACTTTTTCAGGATCATTGCCCGAATGGAACGTTGGAAGCCCGCGCCCTCTCACGGGGCCTCTTGGGGCGTTTTGGCAGCGTCTTGGCCGTCTTGGAACCGTTCCAGGCCGTCCAGGAACGCTTTGTTGGCCCTCCAGGCGCTTCCTGGAGGCGTCTGGAATCTGGAGGTTGTCTTAACCGATCGTGGGGCGCCGTGGGGCCGCCTCGAAACTCCGAGGGCTGGCCAGGGAGCCCCCGGGGAGGGCGAGGGCCGCTCTGTACAATCAGAGCCTCCCTCCGGCGCCCGGGGTTGGGACCATCTATATATATATATATATGTGTATATGTGTGTATGTATATGTGTATATATATGTATATGTATATGTGCTTATATATGTGTATGTATGTATACATGAATATGTGTAGCGTACATGCATATGTATAACCTGTATATATATGTACATAGTAATCGTGAGCACCCTCGGGGCCACGGGGGCAACTTTTCCCAGAGGGGAGGTGAGGCAGCCGAGCTCACGAGTGGCAGCGGTGGAATCGTCGAGGCCGAGGCTCCGCTACCCCTGGGAGAGAAAAGTAAGCAAGGCTTGAAGGCGAAAGCGGGGCGGGAAAATTGAACGAGGACCAGGGCGGGACCCCGCTCTTTCTAACTCCCACTTCCTGCGCTCCATCCAAAAAGTGACCATGAGCGCCCTCGGGGGCATGAGGGCATCTTTTCTCAGGAGGAGGTAAGGCAACCGGGTTCACGAATGGCACCGGCGGGGCGGTCGAGGCCAAGCTTCCGTCACCCGATCCCAACCGGTGAACTGGCCAAAGGCCGCACTCGAAAAAACACAATCATTCTAAATTGTTTGTTGCTCAGTGAAACGTCGGTAAACTGTTGGCCAACAGTAACTGCCCAATGTATCCCTTGATTTGTCTCGCCCGACATTTCAATATGTGGTTTCTTGGACCGTGAACAGATCTTACTTACCATGAGGTCGGCACGTGCGTTCGATACCTGCACATATCCCCGCATCCCACATAGCGATGCTGGCGCACTTCATCCAGCGTGTCCCGAATCTGCATATATCGCAGGCATGCACGACACACGAGCTGTGGCATGAGAGACAGCAAATACGCGGCGCCCGCCACATCAGATAAGCTCCCGGATTCTCGAGCGCCGCTGGAGTGTCATGGCAAGTAGCGAGGCGGATAACCTGGGTCAAGAGTAAGTAGGTGTCGTCTCCAATATTGAGCTGGAGTTGTTGAGAGGGGGTCAGCCCAGAGTCCCATGATCTGTTTCGCGCACCGAATAGCAGGCCGTCTACCAATCGACGAAGTAACACACGGCGCGCCCAGCCAAATAGCGCCCACAACACCCCCTCGGAACCCTGAGAACAGGGAATCCTTTGGAATGTATAAAACGGCCGATGCTACCGTCCCCGGCGAAAAGCCCTAGGAAGAGAACATCTCGGCTGCGGGTCGCGTTTTCCTGGGCTCTGGTTAGCAGATGTTGGAAGTATCTGCGTACCTTTTGGGCTTTCCCTACCTCGGGCGCAACGTGTGGGCCTGGCCCAGCAGGGTGCTGGGGGGCCTCGACACCTCGCGCTTCGCGCCTGACTCCAGCAGCACGGGCATGAGAAGCTGGCCGCGCTGGCCCCCGACTCCGCCCTGGATCGCCCGCCTGAAACTCTGGGGAACCTCGCTTCCGAAGCTGAACACGAGGGAAAGATCTGGTTGATCACGCGAAGCAGCTAGGTGTCCTTTCCGCACCTCGTGAGCGACGTCGTCGTGGTCCAGCGGCCCCCGCGCACCACCTGCTCGGAGGTTCGTCTCTGCGTCGCCGGACCCCCGGAGGCGCCTCCGCGACGGAACTGGCACGCGCGGGGGTCGAGAGAGCCTGGCCCGGGGCCGTCCGCCATCGCTGCGAGCGCCTCGCGGCGCAGCTCGCTACTGAAGTTCAAGAGCGTTCTGTCGGGGTGGCTGGCGGCCTTCAGCCCGAGGAGGGGCCCCCGCAGCCAGCGGCCGTCTATCGCGACGGCGTCGTCGACCGCGCCCGTCTTCCCCGGCGCCCCGAGGGAGGTCTCGTGGAAGACCGGCCCAATCGTCGCGAACCCTGCGCCGGCCACTGGCACCGCTGCCACGGCGCTCTTGCCGACGAGGGCCACGGCCTCGATGGGCCGAAAATAACGCGCGCGAGAAACTGCCACCATGGTCGCCATCATCGGGGGCCCCAACGCGACAACCCCGCCCGCTATCGCCAGCGCCGCAAGTCGCGGACGCGGAAGACGCGAATGGGCAGGCGCGCGTCGACTCCAGCTGACAGCGCACATCGCGGCACGGGGAAGAGCCACCCTGGTCTTCTTGCGCAGCTCGGGGAGAACGCAACCCAGGGCGTCGATCGGCCAACTCGCCCCGACGGCGCCGCGGCCCTCCATGCGCGCGTAGAGTTGAGGCGCCCCGCCGCGACGATGTCCAGCTCGACCGGGCAGCTCCGCGCCAGGCTCAGCATCTGGCAACGCATCAAGAACAGCCGGGGCGTTCTCTGGCACAGTGGCACCGCGCCTGGCATCGCCGCGATCCTCTTCAGCACGCTCATCCACGGGAAAGCAGTCGGTATCCGCTTTTGCTGCGGCCTCTCGAGCACGGCTGGATCGCTCCCACTTGAGCTTGCCCGCCTTGGCCGAAGCACGTTGCTGGCGAGATGTCGCCAGCGCAGCCCTGGCGCGGGGCGCGCGCGCCCTCGGGCCGGGAGCGAAGCTGGAGTTCGAAGGCAGTTGGAGCCTGGGTCTGGAACTCGAGCCAAGGTGGGCCTGCATAGCACCCGACTTGACCCAGGGATCCCATTCCGCGGGCCACGCTCGGAAGGGGCCCATCTCGCGCACGGGCGGGCACCAGTGGCCAACGTGGCAACGGATATTTCCAGGGGCGCTGCTGGCGCCCGGAAACGCGCCCAAAACAAAACGGTTTGGGATTTTCCCAAATGAACCAAAAACTCTACCATTCCCGGGAGAGGGGTCAGACAAATGACATGCGGCACCCCCCTTTCCAAACGACGCGTAGACATTTACCGGGAATGGACGGTCCCGCCCGTTCGGCCCGAGACATCCCGTGAAAAATGACCCGCGACGCCCCCGCGCCGGCATGGGGCGCATTTTTTGCTGCCGCGCCCCCGAGAATATACTTCCTGACAACGACGGGGCCGCTGTCCGTCGGAAGGGGGCGCAGGAGGTGGGGCGAACGAGCGCGGCCCTTGACCGCGCCCCAGCAGATGGGGCAGGTTATCCACAGTCGCCAGCACTCTCGATCCCCGGGCGCTTCCAGCCCCGAGGGTGCGTTCCTGTCGAGTTCCCTGCGCGATAGGCAGACTGCGTTTTGGTGGGGCCAGGAGATTATGGGTCTGGTCGAAGACCCGGGGAGTCGGGGGGCGCGTGGTTCTGCGCGTCGATGCACTGTTCGACCTTGAATCTCAATTTTTCTGACATCCCGCCGAGCGCGCCGACGGGGGCAGCTTCAGCCTGCCGGGCGCGCGCGCCCAGGCCAGACGTCGAGGCGCCGGCGGCCAGCGCAGTCGCGCGCCAGCGGGCTGACCAACGTGCGCTCATCAGCGGCAGTCGACGCCTGATTGACAAAAATTATCGTCAAACAGCGGACCAAATCTCCGCAAACCTGCGCCCGTTGTTCAACGCAAAAGCACAGCGCTCCTGCGACGCACTGTAAACCTCGCGTCGGATAAGCCCAGCCAAAATAATATGTCCCAGGAGAGCCCGAAGATGGCGCCCACTGCAGCGCCGCCGTCGCAGAAGCGCCTCGATTGCGAAGCGCAGTCGCCACAGGTCGCAGTGCTCAATCGAGTGCCAGTCGCCCCCGGCGAGTTGGGGGCCGAGAATATCTAAATCGTGGGCAACGCCCTCCACGTCGTGAGGGATAAAACCCTTCTGCCCCAGAGCTCCCCGAACGCCCCACGGGAGTTGATGCGCCCGTGGCCCCGATAGTCGAGGCGCTTCCCGCGCGCCCCGCGACCGCGACGCTGCCCGCCTGGATCACAGCGGCTGGTTGCCCCGCTGGAGAGGCAGGGACTTTGACTAACGCAATGGCATGCCGGACCGCGCATTGACATAGGAGCAACGACCAGGACCACCCCATAGGAAGCCCGCGCGCCTGAGGGGCGACGAGGGCATGCGGGTGGAGGCGCTGCCCGTTCAAAGTCTGGAGACCCAGGTGTCGGGCAGCCAAGTGCGGCAGTCTGGAATAAGGCCTCAGAACAGACGGTAAGCCCATCCTGTAGAATGCGGCATTGACGTCGCCTGTAGCCGCGGCGGCTGGCCCGTCGGACGCCACCTGGCTGGCCGAAGAAGCAAGTTGCAGCACGACAGAGAGTGAGTCTCTGAAAGCAGAGTTGCACGCGCGGGAATTAAAGATCACGCGGGTCCCCCCGCCCTTCCTGGCGGCAAGAACATGCCGACATACTGGGGCGGTCCACTCGAGCATCCCGCGATCGCACAGAGAGGGCGAGGAAAGCGGAGTAGGTCCTGGGTCGTTGTGCAAGGAAAGTCGATGCGCGGTTCCCTCGGGCCCAGTTCTCGATGCAAAGCTTCGGCTTCCTTGACATCCCGAAGCCAATTCACGTGATACTCGCGCAAGCAAGTAGAATCCCGTCACGCAGGCCGCTGCGGCCTGGCTGGGGAGGGCGAGCAGTCGCCTGCGTCGCGGCCTTCGAGTGGACCTAGACCCGTCGTCGCAGTGCCCCGAGGCAGTGCAGATCTCGCGCCTGTCGCCAGATCTGGGGGGGGCAGCAGATATTGCAAAGCAGAACTCGCGAATGGGAGCGTCTCGTTGCCCGGCGTTCTCGATGCCGGCGGGTGTCTCTTCGCGTGCCTTTCCACGCGGCTGGCTAGGACAAGGAATCCCATCGTTGGCCCAGTCGCGACGTGGCTGGGCTCTCCTGCGCCTTCGTTGCGCACTGCGACGCGGGAACGCACGTGCCCGATGCTGCCCCACCTCCTCGGGCAACAAAAAAAGCGACGGAAAGATGCCCCGCCCGCGCGCCCCGCAATCGCGCTTGCCCGACTGGCGCGACAGGCCAGGCGGCGGCGCGCATGGCGGGCGAGAGAAATCGGCCTCGAGTGGAAGAACACAAGGGGATGAGGGATCTGCACACGAAAAGCTCGGAAGACAAAGGCATCGCCAGTCGAAGGGGCCACCGAGGTCAAGGGCGGCGGCCGGCCAATCTCCGCCGCCTGGGTCTGAGCCAACATCTGTTCCGCCCTTCATCGTCTTGTTTTTGATATTGGCGCTGGCCCTCTCCTCCCGAGGCTTGCACCTCTCCTTCGCGACGGGCGCTTTTCTTCTGAAGCTCGGCGGGCGCCAAAGACTACAGGGCCGGGCAGACCGCGACGTTCCCGCGGGCGTGATCCAGCCCCACGCGCAAGCAGGCGTCCTGAGTGGTCTCGCCGCTACTCCCCGCGAAACTCGGCATCTTGTCGTGGCAGCGCTCCTCCGAGAGCTGGATGGCCCGCGACGTGATCTCTGCCCCGGCGACGTCTGGAATATTCCATTGATCGAACGTGGCCATCCTCTCAAGCATCTGGCAGAACGTACGAGGACTCTCGGCCCCGCCGTCGTTGTCCTGCAACGTCGCATCGGCCTTCCACCGAGCGCGTCTACCGAGCGGGGTTTGGCCGTTGGACGCCGCGAGGTAGTCCGAGGCCCTCTGACTGGGAAGTCGCTGCACTGGGTCTTGACCATTCCCTCGACGGCCAGCCGAAACTTTCTGAAGCGAGATTCTGAAGCGTCGCGGGCGATGGGCTGCACGCGGATGTCGTCCACTGTCGGCGTCGCGGCGCTCCCAGGCGCCATAAGACCAGGGGCAGCTCCGGCTGGCACCATCACGACGCCAAGGCCCACGACCAAGGGCGCCGCGACGGGCGCAGGCGCCGGCGCCACGGCGGGCGCGGCGGGCGCACAAGCTGCTGGGCCGCCGCTGGGCGCGGCCGCTCCGCCTGCGCCGCCAGCGCCTGGAGCTCCAAGGGCGGGTCCGAGGGACGCAGCCAGGGCGCCGACCCCACCTCCGACGATGGGCAGCGCCGTTCCAGCGGCCCCAGCAGCTGCCGCGCGAGCGGCTCCAGCATCTCCCCCGACGACTCGTCCAGCCAGGTTGGGCTGCTTGCCGTCGCCAAGCACGGGGAAACCCCTCCGCCCTGCAGCCGCCGCGCGGGCCTTTTGGAACGCCGTGGGCGTCGGCGCGTTGTGGTACACCGGGGCCGCGAGCCTACCCGGGCCTGGCGGCGCAGCGTCGCCGCAAGCACCACTTGCCAACAACCCGAACCAAACGATCTCGGGCACCTGGATCCGGTCCTCCACGTAGCTGTCCCTGTCAGGCGTCAGCGCGCTCACGGTGGTGCCAGCGCCGGGTTCGATCAGCACGATCGTCTTGTGGTACAGCGGAGTGCCCGGCACGTTGTATTGAACAGCCCCGAAATCGCCAGTCTCGATGTTTGAGGCTCTGCACCAGCGGCGGAACCGCCGCTTCCATCCTCTCAGGCGCGGCAGCGCCGCTGGCGAAGCAAGCTCAACTGCTCCTGGGCGAGGGTCCCCAGCTCCACCTCCTGGTCCTGGATGGGTTGTACGATCTCCACTTCGTGGGCCACAGAGCCCCCGCGCTTGCCGAGATGTCGGCCCGCGCCCCAGACCGCCACCAGGGCCGCGCCCAAGCGCCCGCAGCTCGTCAAGACCAAGCCCGACGATGACCACGAGCAGGCGCAGATCGGTGGCGCCTGGGAAGCCGCCGATGGGGCAGGCCGGGCAGGCTGGCGCTTGGGCGCCGCGCTGGCGCCGTGCTGGGCGCCTGGGCGCAGGCTGGGAAGCGCGGCGAGGAGCTCGGCGCCTGGGCGCCGCGCCGGGGCAGGCCGGGCAGGCTGGCAGCGCAGGTTTTGCAGGGCACTGCGGGCAGCGAGGACACGGGGGAACTTTGGGACAGGAGGCGAAGCAAGTGAGGGAAGCCTCCCACGCCCAAGCAATCGCCTGTGACCACATCCGAGGTCGCCGAGGCGGCCTCGGGAAAAAATAAGCCAAAACGTTGTGCGGCCTGGCTCTTTCAAACATATATATATATATAGTTCGGTACACATGTCTACATTTGCGTAAGCATATATATATATATATATATATATATATATATGTATATATATATATATATATATACATATAAGCATGTATATACTGACACGTACAATGACGTATGTATGTAGAACAGGTGTGTACACGTATCTAGGTATGTATGTATGTATGTATGTATGTATGTGTGCATGTATGTATGTTTGTAGGTATGCATGCATGCATATATATATATATGTGCGAGTCATGTACAGATGTGTGTGCGCGTAGCGATACATGTATACATATGTACATATATATATATATATATAACCATCGCGCGAGCTTCGCGCACGCTCTGGTTCTAGCCCACGCTGGGTGGGGGGGGGCGCTGGAAGATCTTGGACAGCGCTATCAAGTGCAGGCGCGTGACATAGTGGTGCCTCCCGAGGCCTCTTGGGAGCCTCTTGGGTCTTCGTGGGGGTGTCTGAAGGGCTTCTGGGGGATCCTTCGTGCTTCCTTAATTTTTCTGTTGGGGGAACCTCTTGGGTGATTCTTGGGGTGGCATAGTGGGGTTTCTTGGAGTCCCTTTGGGGACACGTCGGGGTTCTCCGGGCATCAGAAGGTGTTCTGCAATCTTAAGCCGTCATTGGCCGTGCTGGGGGTGCCGGACCACACTTCCCACTCTGAACCCATTGGCACCTTCCTGGGCCCCCCCCCGGGACCGCCCCCAGCTTCCCTCCAGGCTCCCCCCAGGGTTCCCCAAAAGCTCCCCCCAAGG